CACACACACACACTCTCTCTCACACACACACACTCACTCACTCTCGCACACACTCACACACACGCTCGCACGCTTGCACACTCACTCTCACACTCACACGCACTCTCACTCTCACACACAGACACTCACACTCTCACACACACTCACTCTCACACTCTCGCACACACTCACGCACTCTCACACTCACTCTCACACTGTCGCACACACTAATGCACTCACACACCCTCACACTCACACACATGCAGGCACTATCACGCACACACAGACACTGACACTCTCACACTCACTCTCACACTCTCGCGCACACTCACGCACACACAGACACTGACACTCTCACACACACACTCACACGCACTTGCACTCAAACACACTCACACTCACACACACGCTCACACACACACGCTCACGAGTGACCTTCACCTGGGCTCGTCCGGCGACGTCTCCTGTGTGTTCCCATTGGTCTGGGCGGGGCTGTGGGCGGGGCTGTATTCTGGACTGACGTCTTCCTTGGAGCCGTTCTGGGCAGGAAGCTCGAGGCAGGCCTTTAGCCCCTCCCACTGCTGCGCTGCGTTCTGGATCGCGAGTCGACGTCTTTCCTGCGACCAAAGAAAGACCAGGTGCTTTAGATCCATTAGATCCTTCCAGAACTGTGTGAAACTACAGCTGCTGTAAAGAAGCAGCATCTGGGTGAATCTCATGAAGATGTCTCAGGTTTGTAGGATGATTTTTATATAGTTTACTATTTATTAATAATGTCAATATTTTTACATATGCATTACACTAAATGAGAATTCAGGTCCTTAACTGAAATAAAATAATGTCAATGGCCAGTTTTTATGAGATTCACTCATCTGCAGTGTCTGAACAGTTACATATTCATAATTAGGGACTGAACAGTTGTTGTTTTTTTATGTTCTTGAACTCCAGTTGCTCCTACAGAATAAAGACTGAATCCTGGGACTGAATCTGTCACACAGATGTCAGAGCTGAAGCATCGCTCTCATCCAAAAGCATTCGATTGGTTCCGTCCAGATGTCTGGATGAGCTCCATATCCCATCATGCACGTGTGAGGCGCTGCCACCCACAAACAGCGAGTTACAGGTGATGAATGCATCACTCCTGCGCACATGTATGTGTGTGAGAGTGTGTGTGTGTGAGTGAGTGTGAGTGAGAGTGTGTGTGTGTGTGTGTGTCCTTAACTGAAATAAAATAATGTCAATGGCCAGTTTTTATGAGATTCACTCATCTGCAGTGTCTGAACGGTTACATATTCATAATTAGGGACTGAACAGTTGTTGTTTTTTTATGTTCTTGAACTCCAGTTGCTCCTAGAGAATAAAGACTGAATCCTGGGACTGAATCTGTCACACAGATGTCAGAGCTGAAGCATCGCTCTCATCCAACAGCATTCGATTGGTTCCGTCCAGATGTCTGGATGAGCTCCATATCCCATCATGCACGTGTGAGGCGCTGCCACCCACAAACAGCGAGTTACAGGTGATGAATGCATCACTCCTGCGCACATGTATGTGTGTGAGAGTGTGTGTGTGTGAGTGAGTGTGAGTGAGAGTGTGTGTGTGTGAGACTGAACTCAACAGGAATTATCAGGCTTACATTACAAATCCCTGCTGGATCTCAGCACACAGTAAAAAACACTCCTGCATGCGAGAAATCACTCACACACCACACAACGACTGCAGTAAGAAAAAACACACGGCAGAAACTGATGCTCCTCCTTAGTGTTTTTTGTTTTCCAGCACAAATATCTCGACATTCTTTACTTGAGATGCACAATGACAGAAGATAAGAAGTCTTGCTTTCTGAGAAATGTTTTTGCTTAAAACCAGAACAAATATCCAGCAGAGGACTTTGTTTTCTCTCTGAATTGAGTTGATTGTCAATCTCACTGTCAGATATATGTTGGGTGTTCTGGTGCGGTGATGAAGTGTGTGTTTGTACCTTGTGCGCAGTCTGTTTGTGACTCTCTTTCTTCTTCTCATCCTCCTTTCGTGCTGAAACACTCGCCGTGCGTCTCTCCTCCTCCTGCACAACAGCAGCTGACTGTCAGGATGCGATTAACACACACGCACACACACAGTCACACACACACGGACACACACACGCACAGTCACATGCACACACTCACACATGCACACACTCACTCACACACACTCACTCACACACGTCACAAATGCCTCTGTGTGCTCTTCTGTGAGTGTATGTGTGTGTGTGTGTGTGTGTGTGCGTGCGTGCGTGTGAGTGAGTGAGTGTGCGTGCGTGTGAGTGAGTGTGTGTGCGTGCGTGTGTGTGAGTGAGTGTGTGTGTGTGTGTGTGTGAGTGAGTGTGTGTGTGTGTGTGTGTGAGTGAGTGTGTGTGTGTGTGTGTGTGAGTGAGTGTGTGTGCGTGTGTGTGTATGTGTGAGAGTGTGTGTGTGTGTGCCTGTTTTTGTGACATATGAGGACACAAATTTGTATAATGACAGGTATTACAAGGAGAAGGTGAACATGGAAAACTCATTTTATCAATTGTTTTCATTTCTGCAAGTAAATCTATGCATATTCTAGGCTTTGTCTAGGCATTGCAGCATTATAATGGATATTATAAAAATTCATATTCGTTTATAGATTTTCTACAACAGTGTTATTAAATTATTAACTAAAGATTAACTTTAAGTAAGTGTTAGATGACAGCAAAGATAATCAAAATGTAAAAATAGAGGAGAAATAATGTGTGGAAGTAACTGCAGCATTATTCCTCTTGTCTCTTTCAGTGGGGGTTGTTCCTGGTCCACCTACTGACCTGGCTGTCACTGAGGCTACTAAAAGTTACGTGGTACTGAGCTGGAAGCCACCCATCCAGAGAGGACATGAGGGTGTCATGTATTATGTGGAGAAGGTGAGGTAGAGTGTAAGGTATAAAGTATTTGATTTTTACCTTGAATTGAGTTTTGCACATTTTTAGACTATCAAATCTTTTCCCAGTGTTTAGTAGGCACAGAGACATGGCAGAGGGTGAACACCGGGATGCCAGTGAAGTCCCCCCGCTTTGCCCTGTTTGACCTTGCTGAGGGCAAATCCTACAGCTTCCGTGTCCGTAGCTGCAACTCTGCTGGAGTTGGAGAGCCGTCAGAAGAAACTGGGGCGACTACTGTGGGAGACAGATTGGGTTAGTATTAGCACTTGATACAAAAAAAGAAAATGGGTTAGTGACACATGTTCTGAATTGCATGATAGAGAGTATGTTTCAAGACTTCTGTGACAAGTGCCTCAAAGGGGTCATATTGCACACTTTCTAATCCTACGTGGCATGAATTTGGGATGAGACCAACAGTATCAGTTCAGGAAAGTACCATTCAAAACTTTGGGGTCAGTAATATTTTATTAATACTTCCATTCTGTGTGTGTGAGTGAGTGAGTGAGTGAGTGAGTGTGTGTGTATGTGCGAGAGTGTGTGTGCGCGAGTGAGTGAGTGTGTGAGTGTGTGTGTGTGTGAGTGTGAGTGTGGGTGTGAGTGTGTGGATCAGAGAGGATTATTTTCAGATGATTTGCTATCCACCCAGCTGTTTGCTTCCCAGCATGCATTGCAACAGTTTTGGAGGCTGGTACGGGATCACTTGGAGACAGATGGCGATCAGGCTACACACTCGCTGTCTCTCTGAATGTGATTTACCAATTAATGAGTCACTACATAAAAAAAGGTAGAGTAGGTGATTTCGGAGAGGCTAGCAATAGCAAGCCGGCTTTGAAAGCATAAGATCCCACCCCCTCTGCAAATCACTCTCCAAAGCCACGCCTCCTCCCAAACACAGGCTGAGCAGAGGCGAACCAGCGACACGATGAGAGACGGACTTTCAACCAGCAAAACAAAAAATGCGTTTGAACCAAATCACCTACCCTGCCTTTAATACGACAGGTGATAAACGGCACTATTAAATAAACCACTATATTCCTCTTTTCATGCAATTTTGAACATGTTTGATCAGCTGATCCAGTCGCTGTTCTATAAATCAGCACATCACTGAGGCCGGATCTCAGATCAGCGTTTCTCTGAGTTTTACGAGCCATTACTCCAGGATGTGTTTAGGGATTCTGGCTGAAGGGGAATTCTTTAGAGATGAGCTGTGTGTATTTCTGTAACATTCCTGATTATTATATGTTCAGTCTGAAATCATCTGCTGGAATAAACTCATTTAACATCATCGTTTGCTTTTAACTCAAAAGTAAGAATTTTTTCAGCTGTCCCAGTAAGACAATAGTTCAGATTTTTGCTTGCCATGCCAATATTATCTGCCACAAAACAGATTAATAAATGAAAACGTTTTAAGCTGAAATATGCGTTTATAAAATACATATAAAATATATTTTTGAATATACATTTATCAATTCTATTTACATAGGTAAATTTACACTTTCTTTACAAAAAAGATTTATGTAAATTATACAGCTCTAATATAACTCCATGACAGTAAAAATAATCCTAATCACAAATTCTAGAACATGACAAAATTTAAATCAATATTTGTGACTCCTGCTATCATAATATCCTGTTATTTTGAATTTAAAAAAAAAAATTTTAATTAAAAAAAAATAATTTTGAGATTGAAAGCTGAATAAATAATCTTTCCACTGATGTATGGTTTGTTAGGATCGGACATTATTTGGCTGAGACACAACTATTTGAAAATCTGGAATCTGAGGGTGCAAAAAAATCTAAATATTGAGAAAATCATCTTTAAAGTTGTCCAAATGAAGTTCTTAGCAATGCATATTACTAATCAAAAATTAAGTTTTGATATATTTACGGTAGGAAATTTACAAAATATCTTCATGGAACATGATCTTTACTTAATATCCTAATGATTTTTGGCATAAAAGAGAAATGTATAATTTTGACCCATACAATGTATTGTTGGCTATTGCTACAAATATACCCCAGCGACTTAACACTGCTTTTGTGCTGCAGGGTCACATATAAGCAAAGCTCATCCCTGTTTTTAATTAGTTTAGCCCTTTTGTTTCCATCGCAACTGTGAAATGCATTTTGTCAGAACGAAATAAGCTGCACACACACACACACACTCAACAGTCTGTAAAACAACATTAAAGTCTTTAATAACTGGCCCGAAGGGACTCACTGTGACGCGCTTCATGTCGAGCAGCTGAAGGTGTGGCGAGCAGCAGCGGAGGAGAGTCTGTCTGTAGCATGACTCCAGCGCGACGGGATTCCCATCAACGCTCAGCTCACTCAGAGAGCGGCAGTGCCACAGACAGGCCAGAGCATCCAACCTGACCACGAAACACAGCATGAATGCTACGGTCAGAGAATCATCAACTCATTAACCCTTATCCATATTATTACAATACAGACTGTTTCAAAGCAGCTTCAGAGTAATAAACAGGAACGGTGTCATGTTACTTCCCTCCGTATGGAAGCCTGTTTCCACCATGGAATCAAAAATAAAAAAGGTAATGACTTCTCAATCACAAAAACATTTTGTGATTCAGATATATACTGAGAATTAAAAAAAAGCCTGAATTGCAAGATATAAACTCAGAATTGCAAGAAAAAGTGAGAATTGGAAGAAGAAACTGCGAGATATAAACTCTGAATCACAGGGGGAAAAAATGAGAATTGCGAGAAAAATTCTGAATTGCAAGATATAAAATCCAAATTGCAAGAAAAAAGTGAGAATTGTGAGATATAAACTCTGAATTACGAGAAATAAATTTAGAATTGTGTGATAAAAAGTTGCAATCACGTTTTTTCTTGTTTCATTCCATGGCAGAAACATGCTTCCATATCGCCGGCCAAAACTGAATACATCAATTAATGTAACTCACTTTTACAATACACAATGCGTGACCCCTTGGCCTTCAGTAAGCCCCGCCCACACACACACACACACACACAGGGCTCTGGATGCAGCAGTATGACACAGCAGTAACGAGGGACAAACACACCCATCACACCGCATCAAGACATCATACTGCAGCGCTCCCTTAGCAACCGCAGCACTCCCACCATGACAACACAGCAAAAACATGTTCCCATGGTTACAGAATCAGACACACTGGACGACTTTCTAAATGCTTCTGCCCGTGTGTGTGTGTGTGTGTGTCGCACAGCCCCGCACTGCTGCAGTACAAGGACACGACGTGTCCTCAGACAGGACGGGGTTAAACACATGCGGACGAATGCGGCTCTTACCTGCTGATGCTGTTAGCGCTGAGAAACAGACGCTGCAGACGAGGAAGATTCTCCACATCCGTCTGCAGACAAACAGAAAGACAGAGACACAGAGAGATGATGCTGCATCCCACAGCCACTGGCACACCGATCCATCCGCCCAGATCACACACACACACACACGCTGACGGGAGGGGCAGCGGAAAAGCAGGACGACTGCGGGGGAGGGGAGAGTGTGTGTGAGTGTGGAGAGATGCTCAAATTCAGCACATACACGCAGGAAGGGTTCGACAGCAGAAACAGCCAGACATTGTTTTCAGCTGAGGGTTTTTCAATTGTGTCAATCAATTGTGGTTGCTAGGGTGATTAGGGTGGTTGCCAAGAAGTTTCAAAGTGGTTGGGGATGGATGCTAAAATGTTTGTAGGTGGTTGCTAGGGTGTTGAGAATGGTTGCTAAGATTTTTCAAGGTGGTTGCTAGAATTTTTATGATAGCTGCTAAAATGTAACTAAGTGGTTGCTAGGGGGTTGCTAAGATGTTTCTTAATTGCTAGGGTGTTTAGGATGGTTGCCAAAATGAATAAGTTGATGGAATATTCTGTGACCTTTATATTATCAATCAATGAAAACAAAGCATTTGACAGAACAACACAAGCAAGACTCGTGTGTTGTTAGTTACTGCTGTCTGAATGTCGGTATTGATCATCCTCTCTCTGACTGCATCTAAATTTAGCAGCGATGTCCCAGACACAAAATGACGTCACAGTCCAGCTGATGTCCACCACAACTCCACCAATCACAGACAGACAGACAGACAGACAGACAGACAGACAGGAGAACGTCACCAATCACAGACAGAAAGAAAGACAGGAGAAAGTCACCAATCACAGACAGACGGACAGAACAGACAGACAGGAGAACGTCACCAATCACAGACAGACGGACGGACAGGAGAATGTCACCAATCACAGACAGACGGACAGAACAGACAGACAGGAGAACGTCACCAATCACAGACAGACGGACAGAACAGACAGACAGGAGAACGTCACCAATCACAGACAGACAGACAGAATAGACAGACAGGAGAACAACACCAATCACAGACTGACAGACAGAATAGACAGACAGGAGAACAACACCAATCACAGACAGACAGAATAGACAGACAGACAGGAGAACGTCACCAATCACAGACAGACAGAATAGACAGACAGACAGGAGAACAACACCAATCACAGACAGACAGAATAGACAGACAGACAGACAGGAGAACGTAACCAATCACAGACTGACAGAATAGACAGACAGACAGGAGAACAACATCAATCACAGACTGACAGAATAGACAGACAGACAGGAGAACAACACCAATCACAGACAGACAGAATAGACAGACAGACAGGAGAACGTCACCAATCACAGACAGACAGAATAGACAGACAGACAGACAGGAGAACAACACCAATCACAGACAGACAGACAGAAAGAAAATCACAGAGAGACAGACAGAATAGACAGACAGACAGGAGAAAAACACAAATCAGAGACAGGAGGCTGTCATTCCTGCTATTATTTGGAATCAATGATAAGTGATCAGATGCACCATTTTCAGCTGCTGGACCATAAAAGAGATCCCACAAAAAAAATCCCACAGACGCACATTGAAGTCCTGACCTGAGTCACATCTACAGACCATTTAAAATTTTTATGATTTAATTAACTGTTAGCTTTTCATCAACTCACAAACTCCCTCATGAAGCCCAGTTTGTGAAATCCTGAATTACTGGATGATTGAGTCTTTAATGTATGTGTTTGTCTCTAGTGTGTGTGCAGCTCCTCACCACAGACGTGATGCTGTTGTGTCGCAGGTTCAGTTCGGTCAGACAGTTCAGACCCTGCAGATTCTCCACTCGAGTGATGCGGTTTCCAGAGAGATTCAACAAACGAAGCTTCGACAAACGAGACACATTTTCAATCTGAGAGATCTGAGGAGAGAGAGAGAGATGTTACAAAAGATTTCTATTTCAAATAAATGCTGTTCTTCTGAACTTTCTGTTCATCTGTGAATCCTGAAAAACAAAATGTATCACGGTTTCCACAAAAGTATTGTGCAGCACAACTGTTTTCAACATTGATAATACTCAGAAATGTTTCTTGAGCAGCAAATCAGCATATTAGAATGATTTCTGAAGATCATGTGACACTGAAGACTGCAGTAATGATGCTGAA